TTTTTTTATTTTTTTTTAATTTCATTTTTCTTTTTTTTGTCATTTTTTAACTTTTGCATCGTTTTTGTTTATCGTATTATTTGTGTTGTTAAATCTTATTGTTAACATGGGACCGAGGAGTTTTGAAATTAATTATTATTTCCATTCTTTCCTTTTTCGTTTTCTTTTTCTTTTTTTTTCATCACATAATTCTCGTCGAAGTTGGACGATCGGTTTTTTTTCTCTTTCTTTCTTGAATACTCTCATTTTATTTATATATTCATAAATCAATTTATTAATTTAATCGATATGCAACGCTTACGTTATGATAATACACACATACACACACGCACACACGCAAGCAGGCATGCACGACGCACAAATGCACACACATCGTATCCCCCCCAACCCCCCCCCTCCCGATATACATTTTTGAAAGTATTTTGAAAATTGAATATTAATTTTCTCATTTAGATTCATTCATATAATATTTATAATCCTCGATAATATTTTAAATGCAATTCGATCAATATGTTATAATAGACAACGATAGTGCAGAACTTTACTGTTCTCTAATTATTTCAACATCTAAAATTGTTCATTTAATTTTCATTTAATTAAACTACGTGCGCGTGGTGGTGGTGTGTGTGTTTTTTTTCTTCTTCTTCTTCTTCTTCTTCTTGCCGGATAAGAGTTTTTTTCTTTTTCTTGTGTTTTTTTATTTCTTTTTTTCTTTTTTTAACGGTAGAGTTGTGTCCGTAGTCGGTGATGCACTCTTTGATAAAGAAAAAAAAAGAAAATAAATAAAATAATTCACGATCGTAATATCATCGGTTGTTGTCGTCATTATTTTATTTTATTTTATTTTTTTCGTTTTTCTTTTTTCTCAATACTTATCACAGTGGTTCCATCACACGAATGATTGATTAGAAAACGAACTGGTTAAATTTTATTCGAATGTAAGAAAAATTAAAAAAAAAAACATGATTATGTATTAAGAAAATATCGAATTATTATTTAAAAAAAAAAGAAAAGAAAAAATATTGAAATAATCGAAATATCATTTGCGTGAAGTAATAAATTCACCTCGTAGAACAACGAATCATTCTAACCGACTACGTTTACAAATTTCTTCGTTAATTTCTTTCTCTCATCCTAATATTTATTATTATTATTACATTTTGATAATTTTCTTTCAATCATATTCCGTATTAACGCGTTGAAAAAGAAAAACCGATAGATCAAATAAATAAGAATAAAATATATATATATATATCTTCTGTTGTTGTATTTTTTTTTCTTTCTTTCTTCCTTTCATTCATTCTTTCTTTCTTTCTTTTTTTCTTTCAAAAAAAAAATGGAGTTATATAGGAAGTTAATTTGTTTAGACTCGGTGCAGCGTAATCATCTTTTGGTGCATACAATTTTGCATCTCATGCAGAACAACGATAACCGCTCTCACATTTAGGAGAGCCTACACTATCGAAAAATTACTTTTTAATATTCGGATAATGTTTATTTTATTATTATGTTTTAATTTTTTTTATTTTTTTTTTTTTGTTACTTATTTTCTCTCATTATTTAATCGTCGTATTTTGACGAACATTTAAATATGCAACTAGCAGATACGTGACCCTTTCTTTCTTCCTTCCTTTCTTTCCCACATTTATTTTTTTTTTTCTTTCTATTTCTTCTCTCCGTCTCATTTTTTCTATGGCTGCTTCCATTTTAATATTTTCTGTTAAGTACTCTTTTTTCTTTTTCTTTTTTTTTTTTAATATGTATATCGTCATCTACAGTCTTTTCCTCAAAACGGTCTCGGAAAGTTATATATATATATATATTTACATACATATATGCATACATATATGCATA